CAGCTCTCCTCCACGCTGCAGGTGCGCACTCTCACATTGCTCTGTGCACGTGTGCGCGTGCGCGTGGACCTGCCGCAGCATCCCGTCGCACTGCACGGCGTCATGACGCGCTCCAGCCGCCAGCTCTCCTCCACGCTGCAGGTGCGCACTCTCACATTGCTCTGTGCACGTGTGCGCGTGCGCGTGCGTGTGGACCTGCCGCAGCATCCCGTCGCACTGCACGGCGTCATGACGCGCTCCAGCCGCCAGCTCTCCTCCACGCTGCAGGTGCGCACTCTCACATTGCTCTGTGCACGTGTGCGCGTGCGCGTGCGTGTGGACCTGCCGCAGCATCCCGTCGCACTGCACGGCGTCATGACGCGCTCCAGCCGCCAGCTCTCCTCCACGCTGCAGGTGCGCACTCTCACATTGCTCTGTGAACGTGTGCGCGTGCGCGTGGACCTGCCGCAGCATCCCGTCGCACTGCACGGCGTCATGACGCGCTCCAGCCGCCAGCTCTCCTCCACGCTGCAGGTGTGCACTCTCACATTGCTCTGTGCACGTGTGCGCGTGCGCGTGGACCTGCCGCAGCATCCCGTCGCACTGCACGGCGTCATGACGCGCTCCAGCCGCCAGCTCTCCTCCACGCTGCAGGTGCGCACTCTCACATTGCTCTGTGCACGTGTGCGCGTGCGCGTGCGTGTGGACCTGCCGCAGCATCCCGTCGCACTGCACGGCGTCATGACGCGCTCCAGCCGCCAGCTCTCCTCCACGCTGCAGGTGCGCACTCTCACATTGCTCTGTGCACGTGTGCGCGTGCGCGTGCGTGTGGACCTGCCGCAGCATCCCGTCGCACTGCACGGCGTCATGACGCGCTCCAGCCGCCAGCTCTCCTCCACGCTGCAGGTGCGCACTCTCACATTGCTCTGTGCACGTGTGCGCGTGCGCGTGCGTGTGGACCTGCCGCAGCATCCCGTCGCACTGCACGGCGTCATGACGCGCTCCAGCCGCCAGCTCTCCTCCACGCTGCAGGTGCGCACTCTCACATTGCTCTGTGCACGTGTGCGCGTGCGCGTGGACCTGCCGCAGCATCCCGTCGCACTGCACGGCGTCATGACGCGCTCCAGCCGCCAGCTCTCCTCCACGCTGCAGGTGTGCACTCTCACATTGCTCTGTGCACGTGTGCGCGTGCGCGTGGACCTGCCGCAGCATCCCGTCGCACTGCACGGCGTCATGACGCGCTCCAGCCGCCAGCTCTCCTCCACGCTGCAGGTGCGCACTCTCACATTGCTCTGTGCACGTGTGCGCGTGCGCGTGCGTGTGGACCTGCCGCAGCATCCCGTCGCACTGCACGGCGTCATGACGCGCTCCAGCCGCCAGCTCTCCTCCACGCTGCAGGTGCGCACTCTCACATTGCTCTGTGCACGTGTGCGCGTGCGCGTGGACCTGCCGCAGCATCCCGTCGCACTGCACGGCGTCATGACGCGCTCCAGCCGCCAGCTCTCCTCCACGCTGCAGGTGTGCACTCTCACATTGCTCTGTGCACGTGTGCGCGTGCGCGTGGACCTGCCGCAGCATCCCGTCGCACTGCACGGCGTCATGACGCGCTCCAGCCGCCAGCTCTCCTCCACGCTGCAGGTGTGCACTCTCACATTGCTCTGTGCACGTGTGCGCGTGCGCGTGGACCTGCCGCAGCATCCCGTCGCACTGCACGGCGTCATGACGCGCTCCAGCCGCCAGCTCTCCTCCACGCTGCAGGTGTGCACTCTCACATTGCTCTGTGCACGTGTGCGCGTGCGCGTGGACCTGCCGCAGCATCCCGTCGCACTGCACGGCGTCATGACGCGCTCCAGCCGCCAGCTCTCCTCCACGCTGCAGGTGTGCACTCTCACATTGCTCTGTGCACGTGTGCGCGTGCGCGTGGACCTGCCGCAGCATCCCGTCGCACTGCACGGCGTCATGACGCGCTCCAGCCGCCAGCTCTCCTCCACGCTGCAGGTGCGCACTCTCACATTGCTCTGTGCACGTGTGCGCGTGCGCGTGCGTGTGGACCTGCCGCAGCATCCCGTCGCACTGCACGGCGTCATGACGCGCTCCAGCCGCCAGCTCTCCTCCACGCTGCAGGTGTGCACTCTCACATTGCTCTGTGCACGTGTGCGCGTGCGCGTGGACCTGCCGCAGCATCCCGTCGCACTGCACGGCGTCATGACGCGCTCCAGCCGCCAGCTCTCCTCCACGCTGCAGGTGTGCACTCTCACATTGCTCTGTGCACGTGTGCGCGTGCGCGTGGACCTGCCGCAGCATCCCGTCGCACTGCACGGCGTCATGACGCGCTCCAGCCGCCAGCTCTCCTCCACGCTGCAGGTGTGCACTCTCACATTGCTCTGTGCACGTGTGCGCGTGCGCGTGGACCTGCCGCAGCATCCCGTCGCACTGCACGGCGTCATGACGCGCTCCAGCCGCCAGCTCTCCTCCACGCTGCAGGTGTGCACTCTCACATTGCTCTGTGCACGTGTGCGCGTGCGCGTGGACCTGCCGCAGCATCCCGTAGCACTGCACGGCGTCATGACGCGCTCCAGCCGCCAGCTCTCCTCCACGCTGCAGGTGCGCACTCTTACATTGCTCTGTGCACGTGTGCGCGTGCGCGTGGACCTGCCGCAGCATCCCGTCGCACTGCACGGCGTCATGACGCGCTCCAGCCGCCAGCTCTCCTCCACGCTGCAGGTGCGCACTCTCACATTGCTCTGTGCACGTGTGCGCGTGCGCGTGGACCTGCCGCAGCATCCCGTCGCACTGCACGGCGTCATGACGCGCTCCAGCCGCCAGCTCTCCTCCACGCTGCAGGTGTGCACTCTCACATTGCTCTGTGCACGTGTGCGCGTGCGCGTGGACCTGCCGCAGCATCCCGTCGCACTGCACGGCGTCATGACGCGCTCCAGCCGCCAGCTCTCCTCCACGCTGCAGGTGCGCACTCTCACATTGCTCTGTGCACGTGTGCGCGTGCGCGTGGACCTGCCGCAGCATCCCGTCGCACTGCACGGCGTCATGACGCGCTCCAGCCGCCAGCTCTCCTCCACGCTGCAGGTGCGCACTCTCACATTGCTCTGTGCACGTGTGCGCGTGCGCGTGGACCTGCCGCAGCATCCCGTCGCACTGCACGGCGTCATGACGCGCTCCAGCCGCCAGCTCTCCTCCACGCTGCAGGTGCGCACTCTCACATTGCTCTGTGCACGTGTGCGCGTGCGCGTGGACCTGCCGCAGCATCCCGTCGCACTGCACGGCGTCATGACGCGCTCCAGCCGCCAGCTCTCCTCCACGCTGCAGGTGCGCACTCTCACATTGCTCTGTGCACGTGTGCGCGTGCGCGTGGACCTGCCGCAGCATCCCGTCGCACTGCACGGCGTCATGACGCGCTCCAGCCGCCAGCTCTCCTCCACGCTGCAGGTGCGCACTCTCACATTGCTCTGTGCATGTGTGCGCGTGCGCGTGGACCTGCCGCAGCATCCCGTCGCACTGCACGGCGTCATGACGCGCTCCAGCCGCCAGCTCTCCTCCACGCTGCAGGTGCGCACTCTCACATTGCTCTGTGCACGTGTGCGCGTGCGCGTGGATCTGCCGCAGCATCCCGTCGCACTGCACGGCGTCATGACGCGCTCCAGCCGCCAGCTCTCCTCAACGCTGCAGGTGTGCACTCTCACATTGCTCTGTGCACGTGTGCGCGTGCGTGTGGACCTGCCGCAGCATCCCGTCGCACTGCACGGCGTCATGACGCGCTCCAGCCGCCAGCTCTCCTCCACGCTGCATGCGCACTCTCACATTGCTCTGTGCACGTGTGCGCGTGCGCGTGGACTTGCCGCAGCATCCCGTCGCACTGCACGGCGTCATGACGCGCTCCAGCCGCCAGCTCTCCTCCACGCTGCAGGTGTGCACTCTCACATTGCTCTGTGCACGTGTGCGCGTGCGCGTGGACCTGCCGCAGCATCCCGTCGCACTGCACGGCGTCATGACGCGCTCCAGCCGCCAGCTCTCCTCCACGCTGCAGGTGCGCACTCTTACATTGCTCTGTGCACGTGTGCGCGTGCGCGTGGACCTGCCGCAGCATCCCGTCGCACTGCACGGCGTCATGACGCGCTCCAGCCGCCAGCTCTCCTCCACGCTGCAGGTGCGCACTCTCACATTGCTCTGTGCACGTGTGCGCGTGCGCGTGGACCTGCCGCAGCATCCCGTCGCACTGCACGGCGTCATGACGCGCTCCAGCCGCCAGCTCTCCTCCACGCTGCAGGTGTGCACTCTCACATTGCTCTGTGCACGTGTGCGCGTGCGCGTGGACCTGCCGCAGCATCCCGTCGCACTGCACGGCGTCATGACGCGCTCCAGCCGCCAGCTCTCCTCCACGCTGCAGGTGCGCACTCTCACATTGCTCTGTGCACGTGTGCGCGTGCGCGTGGACCTGCCGCAGCATCCCGTCGCACTGCACGGCGTCATGACGCGCTCCAGCCGCCAGCTCTCCTCCACGTTGCAGGTGCGCACTCTCACATTGCTCTGTGCACGTGTGCGCGTGCGCGTGGACCTGCCGCAGCATCCCGTCGCACTGCACGGCGTCATGACGCGCTCCAGCCGCCAGCTCTCCTCCACGCTGCAGGTGCGCACTCTCACATTGCTCTGTGCACGTGTGCGCGTGCGCGTGCGTGTGGACCTGCCGCAGCATCCCGTCGCACTGCACGGCGTCATGACGCGCTCCAGCCGCCAGCTCTCCTCCACGCTGCAGGTGCGCACTCTCACATTGCTCTGTGCACGTGTGCGCGTGCGCGTGGATCTGCCGCAGCATCCCGTCGCACTGCACGGCGTCATGACGCGCTCCAGCCGCCAGCTCTCCTCAACGCTGCAGGTGTGCACTCTCACATTGCTCTGTGCACGTGTGCGCGTGCGCGTGGACCTGCCGCAGCATCCCGTCGCACTGCACGGCGTCATGACGCGCTCCAGCCGCCAGCTCTCCTCCACGCTGCATGCGCACTCTCACATTGCTCTGTGCACTTGTGCGCGTGCGCGTGGACCTGCCGCAGCATCCCGTCGCACTGCACGGCGTCATGACGCGCTCCAGCCGCCAGCTCTCCTCCACGCTGCAGGTGTGCACTCTCACATTGCTCTGTGCACGTGTGCGCGTGCGCGTGGACCTGCCGCAGCATCCCGTCGCACTGCACGGCGTCATGACGCGCTCCAGCCGCCAGCTCTCCTCCACGCTGCAGGTGTGCACTCTCACATTGCTCTGTGCACGTGTGCGCGTGCGCGTGGACCTGCCGCAGCATCCCGTCGCACTGCACGGCGTCATGACGCGCTCTAGATATCTTATTGATAAACCTGAGAACACGCTAGAGTTAATCCTGCGAGACATAGCGTAGTGAGCTAAATTATCGGAAAAACAGTAACCGTAGTCGAATGCGGCCAATAGAACGTCGTCATCGTTCCTTCTTTTGTTACAGGAATTGGGCGTGACGCGTACATCATCGCGACAATCTCGCAATCCGCCTGGAGTGCCGCCCCCGTCAAACAGTCAAGCGGGAGTGGGAACTGCGGCAGCGGGAGCGGGCGGCGCGGGGGTGAGAGCGGAAGCGGAAGCTGGCGCGAGTGCGACAGAGACGGAAACGCAAAGCAAGCCGCCTCGCAGCTCTCGCCCAGTGCCGGCGGCGCGCCACGAGCCGCTGCTGCAGCCGTTGCAGCTGCAGTTTACCATTATGCTGCAGGTAAACATCTGCAACGCTCATTCACATCCTTCTTTGTCATTTTCATCGAGATTTTAACCCACTTCTAGATATAAACCGCCGACTAACATCTCTAACAACTTCTATAAATTTAAAAATTTGTTCATGGTTACAACTCCAGGCAGACTAGTAAAAACGAGGCTATTGACAATAACCTCCTCTTTCTGTATATTGTCTGTATATATTATACTAAATGAATCAGCACAAATAACAGATCTTTAATATAAACTTAAAATAAAAGTGGACCAAGGATTGACCCCTGAGAGAACACCTATGACCAATATGCCATTTATGCTTTCTGTTCAGTATTTTAGAATTAACACACAGTAGATCTAATACTTCAGTTTGTGAAAACGATATCGTGCTGAACACGTTACCCTTCATTTCATACATTTTTATAGAAAACAATTTTAACAGCCCATTAAAAGTATTTAAATTGATTTTTTATAGGATAAAGGTGACAAACGAGCATAGTCCAACTGATGGTAAGTAGTTACTGTGACCCAGAAACTATTCTCGATTACGAATAAAAATGCAGATGCGTGACATGATGCGCGACCCGTGAGATCTAAGAGGAAATGCATCGTTTCCAGTAAAAAGCGTCTCTGGTTTTCTCACCACACTCACCATACGAAACACTGCAGGTTCGAACTAGTTTTATAGCTTAAATCAAGAAAGAAAACACTAGGGAAAGTGATAGGAAAGTAGTGAAAGTTTCAACGTTGCACTCTTATGAGGTAACTACGAAAATAAAATTATGTTGTATTTCCACCTTCAATTCAATCACCTTCCAATTAAGATATACAGTCCACTGTACAGACGTCAAGACCTATACAACTCCATAGGGACCCGTAATCTTAGTCGTCTAACCTTTTATTTTAAGAAAGGGCGACAGACGTCCTTGTGTGGCACTCCTTCTCGGGGGTCACGCCCACCTCGTTGTTCCCGAACCCAATGTGGTGTGATATCAGTTTATTGGAATAGAAAGTCATTGACTGATTGACCCCTGTCTGTTGGACCCTTTCAGTTGTAGGATTGACGCCAAGCGACGAGCAGCGAACCTTTCAGTTAGCTATTTTACGCTAGTATTCTGTGAGAGCGTGGTCATTCCCCAGTCTAGCTGACCCATTCGTGCTACAATTATACTAGTAATATAGCTACAGCCTTTTGTAATCCACAAACTCGGCCTTATGCCAAATAATTTTTTAAAGATTTTAATTAAATTGTCTTTGTATTGTAATTCATTAAAATAACTGAAAACAACTATAAAAAAGTCACATCTCGCACAGAGCCTGAGCATAACGGCCGCACTGCTGCCATCCTTACAAGCACAATACAAGATGGAGCAAGTGCACAGCACGGGCGTGACGGGCCTCAAGGCGCATTTTACTGTTGACCTGCCGACGCACTCGCTCAGTTTCGCTACTAAATTACAGGTACGTCACGAAGTATTCTATTTTGTGATTTTGTATGTAAGTCCAAATTATTTGAAAATACTGTCTTTCAAATATTGATGTTTAAAAATTAACAAAAAATATTTGATCATACTTTTTACATTCAAATATATATTTTAATATAGGTATTATGTTCCTTTTTTTTAGAATTAAATTACATATTTAGCAAGCAAATGGCTCCGAGGACTGAATTCTACCCGAGTTTAGATTGTTATTGATATTTTTGTTTGTAATTTAAATTGAGTTCTTAAGATCATAGGAAATTTCTAAGAATTAAAAAATAATATTGCAATGAATAAATTATTTTTTTATTTTTTATTCGTTTCTTAATCGTTCGCCTTAAATTTTACATCAATTAAATTGTTAACTGCAATTTTAAATGCTGATTTACCAAATGCTTGAATTAAAATATAATTAAAGATTTTTTTTAATCTTGCTTCATATCCTGTATTAATTAATAGTTCCTTCGAGGAGGTTAACACAAATAAACTTTGCACTAGAATGAACACTCCAGACCGGGAATAGTACTTTTTGAGCTGTACAAATTTTTGGTAAATTTAGAAATCGAATTCGTGATTCACTGCGCCACATATACTTTAAGCTTTACAGAACAAAATTAAGGATACGTGTGATATATTTTTTCACTATAATTATGAAATAGAAGGAAGAATAACATTTATATTGGTTCTATCATAATTATTTTATTGCGATGACAAGTTTGTCAAAGTCTCTCGAGTAGCGTGTCAGATACAGCTTTGCTTCATTATTTTTTAACGAAGGGGGCTACTGTCTCGTGTCGCTTACAGGGTGTCTATTTACTTCTGATAGGTAACGGAAGCCAACATCCCGGCCGCGGCGTCGGTGGCGTTGCCGGCCGTGTCGTGTCGCGCGCGCGTGCTGGGCGCTGAGTGCGGCGAGAGCGACGAGAGCGGGGAGGGAGGCGAGCCTGGAGAGGGCAGGGAGGGCGGAGAGGGCGAGGAGGGAAAGGAGGCTCCGGGACGCAGGGAGTGTGCGGAGGAGGGCGTGGTTCTCCGCGCCGGCCGCTACCTGGCCGCCACCGCCGACATCGGCCTCTTCGAGCACACGCTCTCCACCGACTTGCTCAACCACCTCGTCTTCGTGCAGAAAGTGTTCATGAAGGTCGGTCGCCACTCACACTTCACGACTCGCATACGTTTCACTCACACACACAGAGAGACTTCCATTTGCCACGATCCTGACACATGTCTATCGCTTTTTTCACATTACCTACGCATACATGCTCTTCTGTTAATGGTACTCTTAATTTTGCCTATCTTCAATAATCATCAAACATCGCCGTATCAAATACTATACTGTTACCGAAAAAATTAAACGGAAATGAAGATAGTTGGCGTACATGTACGCACATGCACTTGCGTACGTATACGCGCTTATAAACAAATAATAACAAATGTATTTACCTAATCATTTAATGAACAAACTAATGTCTGTGTGTTTGTGGCATCATAGCTCCTGAACGGATGAACCGATTTTGATAAAGTTTTTTTCGTTCGAAAGGTGTCTTAATCTAGAGTGTTCTTAACTATATTTCAAGAAAATCTGTTCAGCCATTTGAAGATTACGAACTCTTTTTGTTTCGGAGGTTTTTATATTTTATAATTTAAGTTCACAAAAGACATGTTGGCGACCGCATTTTTTATTTTATAGTTATTATGAGAATAACGCTGACACCGATCTCCTGGTTATAAAATATATAATTTCCAATTTAAACAGAATCACTCCTAAATAAGCATCAAACTTCCTGGTCATAATCAAACAACGTCAATTGTTCAAATAGAACATTCTCCAATCAAGATATTAAAGAAGAAATAAAAATTATTTTTATGAAAAACTCATGAGAACCACGGAAAACGAGTAAAATTAATATTACCATTCTTAAATACTATTATAATCGAATATTTAATGGCGAAATTGGAAAGAGAAGGAAAACGAAGACTAAATAATTGTATGTGACATCCTGTAATACCCATGCTTATGAATTAATAAATGATTGATTGATTGGTTGATTACCATATACCCCATACAAATCATAAAGAGCTCATTTAAAACAAATTATTCATTTATTACCTTTACAAATCACATAAAAACCATTCATTCTATACTTGCAGGAAGTAAACGAAGTAGTTCAAAAAGTTTACGGCGGGGAGAAACCAGTCCCCCTGTGGAACGAGGAGGAAGCCTCGTCCTCGGCTCTCAACCGAATACTCTTCTCTCTGATCATCAGGATAAAGGTAATCTATCATCATCATCATCATCATCACCATTACATTCACAGCCCAACTCATGTCCACTGCTAAACATAGGTCTACCCCAGGGAATACCACAAAATACGGTTCTGAGCCACCTGTATCTATCGACTTCCTACATCTCTTATCAGGTCGTCACATTAAAACAAAATCGATCATATTACATATCGACATAGCACAAATGCGAGCATCAAAAATGGAGTCTAATTTAAATGTACAACATGCATAAATTTAATAAGTGAAACAGACAATAATAGCCACAAAAGAAAAGAAAAGCATGACTATATGAATATGTAGTGCGTATACATATTTTTTTTTAATAAACAACACAAAACTCGACTTAATGCCCGCCTTGCCGATACATAACTTTAAATAGCTATACATAGTATTAAACAAATAAAAATCGTGCTTTTTGCATAAATTATTAAAATGATTACTAGACCGATATATGAAAGTATTTCTTCTATAATTAGTTGACTATTACAACTAATCACGCAAGTAGTCCCAATATCTAATATTGGTACCTCAAAATGGAATCCGTTTCTGGGTGTGCATAATGAACGCACCACATATTAAATAACCGTTTATTCACAACGCAAATGCAAAGTAGCGGATCGGAGCGCGATGAGCGACCTGACGGCGTCGGACGATAGTATCGACTGGCGAGGTGAGAAAAACCGAACTGGTTGCTTCTGCGCAGCCGGGGGCTTCCGAAGATTACCGAACGGTCAAATAGGCCGGGCCGTACATTCTTTATGCATAGACGAGCACGTTTTCTTAAAATATTTTAACACTTATTACCTGTTCTTGAGCACTTTTAATTTCCGCGAATGCAGCAATAATTTTACTGTAGCGGTCTACATAGATTTGGACCTCTTTGACGTAAGCACTACTTTTTATACACAGATAAAAAAACTAACGATGAAAGTTCCGGCGAGTTTGCAGATACACTATTTAAGTTATCATTCACTACATTTCAATAGTTTGATTCGATTGGTACGACTAGGTTTATTACGACTCGTACGCTAATTTCTCACCACGATAAAGACTCTTTAGTATCTTTGTATGTACCTAATTTTTTTAAAATTATAATTTAATTGCTTAAGGTGTAATATCGCATCATTTCAGTTTCATATTATCGGCGGTTCGAATATTTTCGTAACTCATTGGTAACGAAGCGTACGTAATGAGGTCACGGTCAACACTGTCAACTGTCGGCCGTGTGAGCAGACATAGGTACTTACGGTCTAACGGTAGAAGGGCGTGGGAAGACGGGCTCCAATGTACTTTACCGAGCGTAAGGTGTGCGTGCGAGGTAAAATCAGTTAAAATAATGCATTACTACGCAAATTGAATTTAAAAGATAAAAATGACAGAAAATTTGAAGTTTTTTTAAATTAATTTTTTCTTTACCATTTGCCTATATTACTTATTCTGAACCTGTGCAAATTTGGCTGGTTATTGCAAAATAACCCTGTATACATCACTAGTATGTAAGGTTAGTCTGTGTATAAATTAGTAATAGTAATCTCTGTTATTATTCTACATAATGTTACTGATAAATAAAAAATAATGCACAGTCTATGAGACCACCACTGTCTAGGAGTAAAGTGATATCTTTTCTACACCTTGTCTCGTATCCTTGATCTTTTCGCTTACATTTAAACTATACCTTTTTTGTATGAATTGTATGCGCGATATATATACCTTATATTGCTGATTCCAGACCACAGAGGCATACTCAAGAATACTACGTACACAAGCACAGAAAAGAACTTCAATGTGTTCAAATAAAACCGAGAAATTTGGAGGCCTTTCTCACTACATAATCGATGTGTTTATCATTGATAAGCTTACAATCTTAAATTACTCCTGAATCTTTCATAGATGTAACTTTAGTAAGGGACTTATTATTGGTTATTATTGGTTGGGTTTCCAAAAGAAATTAAAATATGTGGTAGTGGATATTATATTATATATATTTATATATTCTTATATTGCCACAACACGGCACGGGTAGGTCCTAGTCAACCCTAATCACAATAATGAACGAGTGCCGCCGTTTCGGTGGGAGGACACGATTGCTAAATGTGTGTATGCGTTTGCAGCGCATCCAGCTGACGGCGACGACGCCCAGCAACTCGGCGCTGCGGCTGGAGACGGGCGCGGTGGAGCTGGAGCTGTCCAACCGCGTGCAGAATGTGCCGCACCACGAGCTGCGTCTTTTCGCCCGCGCGCAGGTATGGCCCAGCTGCTCCAGCTGCAGGAGCTGGATCTGTCTAATCGAGTGCAGGACGTGCCGCACCCCGAGCTGCGTCTTTCCGCGCGCGCGTAGGTACGGCTTAGCTGCTCCTGTTGCAGGAGCTGGATCTGTCTAATCGAGTGCAGGACGTGCCGCACCACAAGCTGCGTATTTTTGCGCGCGCGCAGGTACGGCCCAGCTGCTCCAGCTGCAGGAGCTGGATCTGTCTAATCGAGTGCAGGACGTGCCGCACCCCGAGCTGCGTCTTTCCGCGCGCGCGTAGGTACGGCTTAGCTGCTCCTGTTGCAGGAGCTGGATCTGTCTAATCGAGTGCAGGACGTGCCGCACCACAAGCTGCGTATTTTTGCGCGCGCGCAGGTACGGCCCAGCTGCGCCAGCTGCAGGAGCTGGATCTGTCTAATCGAGTGCAGGACATGCCGCACCCTGAGCTGCGTCTTTCCGCGCGCGCGCATGTACGGCTTAGCTGGTCCAGCTGCAGGAGCTTGGTCTGTCTAATGGAGTACAGTACGTGCCGCACCACAAGCTGCGTGTTTTTGCGCGTGCGCAGGTACGGCCCAGCTGCTCCAGCTGCAGGTGCTGGATCTGACTAATCGAGTGCAGGACGTGCCGCACCACGGGCTGCGTCTTTTCGCGCGCGCGCAGGTATGGCCCAGCTGCTCCAGCTGCAGGAGCTGGAGCTGTCTAATCGAGTGCAGGACGTGCCGCACCACGGGCTGCGTTTTTTCGCGCGCGCGCAGGTACGGTTACCAGCTGCTCCAGCTACAAGAGCTGTAGCTGTCTAATCGAATGCAGGACGTGCCGCACCAGGAGCTGCGTCTGTTCGCACGCGCACAGGTACCGCCCAGCTGCTCCAGCTGGTCCAGCTGTGCTGTCACTGTAGCTGGAGCTGTCCAACTGCGTGCAAAACGTGCCGCACCACGAGCTGAAAGAAAAGAAAGAAAGTAAGAAATTAATTGTGTCGAGAGTCGGAATAGCTGTTGTAAATATCCAAAGCGACGGGTTAATGACGACATTTGAAAATAAGATATTTTTGTGTTTTGTTTTCTAATTTTAACTAGTAATACTTTTAAAGATTCAACGTCGCACAGTAATTTTGAAGTATTTTTAAGTATTACATAACTTCCTTCACAAATAATAAATTATTAATTATCGCACTTTATTTGACATAAAAATATCAAAAACTTATAACCCTCCAATTTAACGCCAAAAACTAACCATCTCAGTGTTTGGGCATATGCATATTTACTTACTATGCCAAACTTCAGTCTTCTACGTGAAGACAGATTATCTATGAGAAAAACATCTGTGATAGACAAACCGAAATTGTTTCAGAAATATTCTTATTTTTATCACGGAACACTATGAACATTTTCCGGAATTTAATAATACCATTGTAAATCGAAAGAACTTCTTTTACCTTAAAATAAAATATAATTTAACTTTCAAGGTGGACGTGAACTTGAGCCTCGGGCAGCTGATACGAAACGCAATGTTTGAAGAGGCGGAACCCGAATTCCAGCAGTATGCGTTCTTTAACACCAGAATATGTACGTATTCAGTTTAGTATTTACTAACTTGAAATATACATATTAAGTTTTTTTTTAACTAGGGTTGTTTCCATATCGGATTTGTCTGTGTAGCAGCTGGCCATTGTCACTTCTGCCTATTGATCCGCTGGGATATGTAGAATGTTATTTTTGTAACTCACGTTTGGTGCAGTACAAGTATGAACCGATGAAATACTACGCATATTTTAGTCATTAATGATTTATTCATATTGTATTGCATCCAGTTTCTGATAGGAAAATATTATATAGTAAATAAATAATATAAAATAATATATTTTTACTGATGTCAATTTATAATAAAATCAATAATTTACTAGACGAGGATATGTAAGTCGTCTTATTCTCCTGTTTTTTATTCAACATAGAGCTGTGCTCAACTTTCTTACATTATGTGCACAATATTATCTTATCTTAGTGAGACAATCGGGCGTTGTCATTTTTGAGGCGTCAATCCAAAGTAGTTTAGTACTGCATCTTAGCCGCGGGCTCGAAACTTCAAGGTCCAGGAGGATTCATCGTAACGTATCGGGTCCCGACCGTCGCCCCTGAATGAAATGTAACTTTGTATCATTTAAAACTCCTTTAATATTTACATCTTTCAAGGATTAAATCATTGTCACTTAGACAAATCAAGAGCCTTGTGGGCGAATCATGCCAGTACGGACCGTACCCGTAATACCTGTACGCCAACTTTTTTGGTAAAAATTCGTTGTGCAGGATTTTTTTATTGTGTAGAAATTCTAATGCATACATTTCGCTGTGGGGGTAGCAAAAAGTTTATGGTAAAACTACACGGAGATTCCGATCTACGTTCGGAATGCATCCGAAGGCCCCCTGTCGCTTTGCTTTATTGGGAGCACGTTCCGGGGGCAGTACATGCTGCCTCCAGTACCCGCGCAGTGCCATACCGGTGCCTCGGTACCACTTCCGAGTCATCGTCCTCCTCGGGAATTACAATATTGGGCATTCAGGATCTCTACTCTTTTTTTATCACTTTCGTTTTTACAGTTAGACAACTTGAAGGTTAAAACCAAAAGTACTTAATTTAGTTTGCTCGTGATGGAATTTCTTGTCAGCGAGTGAATTGCGTTGTTAGAGTCCGAACAATGACAGCGATGCTTCCGATTGCCTCTTTTAAATTGTCGTCATAAAAGTTTTGGTTGCAGCCTAATCACTCGGTATTAACTTGGGTCTTTTAAAAGTGGTTTCGAAAAGTAATCTAGAAATAATACAAAGTTGGGAAGTGGGCAGTAATGATGACCGTGTAGTGGCGGTGTAAGAATATCCACTATACCATATCATCCCGTAAGAGGTGACAGAGGGAAACAAATCGGAATATTGGCAGCAGCGTCTTCCTAATATCGACTAAAAATAAAAAAAAACTGCGGTTGCCAGCCCGCTTGTTAAGCGTGCCAACTATGATATGGGGCAATCTATGGGGGAGGCCTATGTTCAGCAATGGACTTTAAGGTGGCACAAGTCGCGGGCTCGAACTCGCTGGTGGGCGCGGCCAAAAAGCACGCTGTCTCACCTGGCATCGTGCCCGACAGAGATAGTATCAGTGATGAGCATATCGACACTAGTATTCACGCATGTCTTGTTCGTACGGTGTTCCGAACCGTTAGAATAAAAACGAAGTTACACGAACACGATGCAACATCTATACTAATACATTGAGATATAATGTACTACGTACGTAGTACATTATTATCTCAATGTACTAATATAATAAAGCAGAAGAGGGTTTTTGTTTGTTTAAACGTGCTAATCTCTGGAACTACCAGTCCGATTTGAAAAATCTTTTTTTGGATATTATAGCCAGATTCATGTTGAATAGTATAGGCTATACAACATTAGGCTATATATCTCAGCTAGCCTATATTTGTTAAGGAAGTCAGAAGAAAAAGCGCTGTTATGGTTCGGGATACGTAAATACAATGTTCTAGAAAAATATAGATCTTTACTACGTCTAAAAAAATTCCGCGATACCATATGTCTATTTCTTATATATAAGCCACAATTAGGCATTTAGTGACAAAAAAAAATGAAAATTGAATTATTAGGCACCTTACGAACCAAAGTTACTTCATTATCAAGACAATTTTATGAAGATAAACTTCGTTCTTTATACCATGTTTATATAGTACATAGTTATAATGTAAAATTAAAATAATTCAATACCTACTTCGCTTGACGCGCAAACAACGCATAACCCCTAGCCCGGTGCGAACTGAGAAGCCAGTATTGAAAGCTTCTATGAGCGAGGTTAGGTTAGCCGTTAGTTCAATCGTTATCTATATCTACACAAATAAATAAAATTGAAGTGTCTGTTTGTAATGTCAAAATAACAGCTTTTTACTAATTGCGTATGAAACTGTATACGGTACTTATAACATTAACACAATTTTTAACATTTTTGTATGTCTGTCAGTCTGTTTGTTGCTCTTAATTTCCAAAACGGCTGGACCGACTTTGGCGGGACTTTCACTAGTAGATAGCTCATGTTATAAGAAGTAACTTAGCCTGCTTAAATTTTAGAAAAATTATTAGGTTTCTTTGCAACAATATTAACGCCCTAAACTAAACGCGGACGAAGTCGCGGGGTACAGCTAGTAGCTAAAATAAATTCAAAATTAATTGAGTACTTTTATCCATCTCCCGAGTGAGCGTAGCAATGATTAGTTACATCTTTATTTCTGAACTCTTTCATTTCACGTTGCTATGGTATTTTGAAAGTTTAAATTTAATTGATTAATAAGTATAAGAGGTTGATAGCAAATTTATCAAGAATCATTTCTTGCCTACACACTTTTCATGTATCGTGTACGTTTTTCTTTAAAACTGGAAAAAACCGCGCATAATATGCCGACAGATAAAATAAAAGTACTCCATTAATCATGACAATTTTTCCATACATTACAATCAAATAAAATATTTGATTGCAATTATAAAATGCTTGAACTAGGTGTCATGTCATGCCACGCATCTCGGACACGTGATGACGCGGGTGAAACCGCGAAATTATTAGGTATACCTCTGTGGCTCTATATACCTAATATAGATTGCTTATTTTATTATGTTTAGTTTTCCCCGAGTGGTCATGCAGCAATCACTCAGAGTTCGGCTTCGAACGTGTGTAACTCGATAATTATCCCACGGCAACGAAATACCTGAATAAACGGTATCATATATGATATTTGGCAGCTCCGTGGCGCAGTGGCTTAGCAATGAATTGTTGTACTGGGAGCCGCGGGTTCGAATCAATCGAACAAGTATTTGTATGGTCTACAAATAATTGTTCCGGGTCTGGATGTTTGTAAACTGCCTCCACGATACAGGAGAAAATCCTAGTGTGGGGTAACGTTTTTTTGAAAAAAAAAATTCCGGACTATAGCCTATCTCTGAGCAAAATATCATCCAGATCCCTTCAGCCGTTCTGGCGTGATTGAGTAACATACATCCATTCAACCGTCCATCCAAATATCCAAACTTTCGCATTTATAATATTTAGATAATAATCGTAATTGGTCTGCCTACCTATAAATTGTTTTCAAAAATACTTACTTACCTGGCTTCTTATTTTTTTATATATACTCAATATCACTAAACGTAAGCACAGGTTTTTATCAAGACAAGTGACCCATCAAGATTGTTTTCTTAGTACTGACGTACCTACCTAAAGTTTACAATTTTGTGGCCACGACGCGGCGAGGTTTTGTGACATTTTGTTGTATTGTAGATTGTAGGTATCTAGGTAATAACAGTAGGTATCTATGAAAATCCCACATAATATACTTTGTTTATCCGCCGCAAAAGTCGTCTAATAAATAATTAAACTGTTTTGTAATTTTTTATTTATTTATAACACTTGCATTGAGAGCCGTGGTAGCTCAGATGGTTAGCGCTCGCTGTAAGTATCACATTACGCGAGCAACCCGGGTTCGATCCCCGTCGGAACCAATGAAATTGTTGCAATTTTATATAGTAATCGAATATAGACTTTACTTTTTTTACTTTTATAATTATATTATATTACAGACGAAAATTTTAAAATATTGTCTGTCGTCCAAAACGCATCATCTCTTTCAATTATATCAATTTCCATGCCGTCTTTTGTCTTTGGCGTCCAAATTACAAAATAGCAAAACTTTTCGTTTCGAATAAAACTCGAATACTTATAAGCGCGCTTCACCGCCTGTGCATGTGTGTGTAAGCATCGTCCTCCCGCACCGCACCGGGGGAGACATTATTCAGTGAGATGCACGATAATTCATAGTAACATGCGCGCGTAAAAAAATACGAAAAGGCCTTTGGAAGAAGGGGTTTTATGAAAAAACCACTGCATTAATCAATTACAAATAAAATTTATTGAGTTCTTCGATAATTGATCTGTGTCGGTACCGACTTTGTTTTGGAAATTTTACACTTCTTTTATTACTAATTTACGCCCAAAGTTGTGTTAAAATTGGCAATAAAAACGAATCTTTGGTAGCTCGTAACTTTTTAATAACATTTTATTTTTCTATTCTGTTTCCGTACAGACAAATTTAATAATGAGACAAAACGATATCATGTTTAATTTTGGATGTACACTGTCAAACAGCGGAGTAAAACCCCTCCGAAATTTCTATGGAAATAATGTCGACTAGTGTCACCTTAATATGCTATAACGGTAATGGTAAACAGTAACGGTTTGTGTCAGCGATGCGCAACGCGTTCCAAGAGGAGTTGACGAGCGGGGAGGGAGTGGGCGCAGGCGACGAGGAAGAGAAGGAGGTGGTGCTGATCACGCTGAAGCGGCCGCTGGTGTACGTGCAGCCCGTTGCCGTGGACAAGGCCATCCTGGTCTGGCTCAACTACAAAAACGCCTACGAGTACTGGAACGAGAAGCGCCTCAGCCTTAACAAGGAAGTGCTCACTGCCACGCAGCAGGTCTTCGAAAAGGTAAATAATGCCATAAACGTTTTTTTAAGGTTTTTTTTTAGTTTATGACAATGCACGAATGGTTCGACCCAACTGGGGAAGGACCACGTTCTCACAGAATACAAGTATAAAATAGCAGCCCTCGTGTTTCGTATGGTGAGTGTAAAGAACCGGTGACCCCTTTTACTAGAAACGAGGCATTCCATCGTAGTCCTCCCGGGTGACAAAGCATCTGCTTTGTGATTCGTAATCGAGGATAGATGTTGATGTCTATGAGCCAAAGCAACTGTTTACCATCAGGTGCTCTTTTGTCACCCTTATCCTAAAAAAATAATTTAGTGCTAACGAATTCTGCCAATGTCAAGTCTTTTTCTTTCTTTGGTAATGGGCTAGTCCGATTGTACGTTTGCCAGTATCAAGTAATAAGAAATTATTCTTTATAATACACTCATTCACAATATGTAGATGCATCACATTTCGAAGTTTTTGGGAGATATTTCCGGTAGCTTGAGTCAGCAGACAGTCTATGACTATAGTATATCAAGACATGGCAGTAGTCGAATGACAGATTCGAACCTACGACCTTTGCGTTCGCAGTTCATACCCTACCATTAGGCTTCCATCTTTTATTTTATTTCATTGTGGAGTCAGGCCGTCATTAAAGTTCAAAGTCGATGAGTCAGATTAACGAATTCCGTATATTTATAGTATAATATATCACTAAGTTGACTCATTATTGATTTAGGTCCAATTGACGTCTCAAATCACTACACCACATCTGAGCACGTTATTTCTACAACTGAACGTCGACGACATAGGCATTTGTCTTCCGCTGAATCAACCACCAGTGGTGAGTACTATATATAATAAATTGGACTATGGTATCTCAGAGACAAGAAACACTGATTTTGAATTTGTTCCATTTCTCATGCAGATATTGCTGTTATTCTTTGTATTTTTTTAATTAAAATTTTATTGAACGCCATAACATTTCTAGAATAGGATGGAATAATTTTTGAAGTTATACTTCTTTTGGGGTGTTTGGGAAAAATGATGAGAGTGAATTTTGACGATGCGCGCGTACACCAACACCTAAAAACGACACCATGAAGTTGTTACGATAGGCGCGTGTACTTACACACCTAAACCGTATCCACTTCGCGCGGCAAACCATCAAACGTTGGATCGCGCGGCAGCCGCGCACGCAGTGTTCGAACATTGGCGCGCTCGAACGTGCCGCGCGACCATCCGATCTGTGTCGGTTTTTGACGGCGCGGCAAAGGAATCTCAGTGATCAGTGAGTTGTGCTCGCGCAGTTGGGACGGTCGTTTACGTATTTTAGTTGGTGCGTGCAGGAAAAACATGGATAACGACAAGTGTCGTACTTTAATTAGGTTATATGGTACTAAACAATTTCTATAGAACAGTAAATGTAGTGATTATCACAACAAACCGCTGCACTTCGCGGACGTACAACGTCCATGGTTGCCGCCAAAGAGAATATATAACCACTACGTTTAAGTGGCGGGACTTCCATAGTAAAAGTAAATGCATGAAAGTACGCCAAGCTTACTCTACCAACATCAAGATATGACATTTAGTTTTAACAAACAGTGTTGACAACATTGACGAATTACAATACTACGTACAAATCGCTAGGCTTCTTCACAGAGGTACCTATGTATATACATACTATTCACACAGATCGTTTACTAATTGTCGCTTTCAAAATGAGTGCTTATTATAGCTAATGTTTGTAGATGAATCTATAAAAAAAATATTTATAACCAGGTAAATACAAATAACTTTGTGTTTATTTATATAATCGAATTCTTACCAAAATGTGACTTTAGATGGATATTATCTTTTGCTACATGTAAATGAAACCTAATTAACATACACATAATTATGGAAGTTTAAATTAAGTCCACTAATGAAATAACAGTTCGTTTAGGTTGGATTCAAATGCAATGTTTGCCACAAATATGTTTTAACATGTGAATCTTTCAATTGGTGCATGTGCCAGCTATTTCACCCATTGCTTGCATCTGAAAAAATATAATATCGTTTCGGATTGCCATACCATCAAACTATTCTGATAGTTCGATGGTATGTCAATCCGAAACGAACTATACTTAGAAACTACACAGTCAATTGTAACTGCTAACATTCTATTTGTTCAATAAAAATGTGATTTTATTTATATAATTTTTTCAGATGCAAGCAATGGGTGAAATAGCTGGCACATGCACCAATTGAAAATATTAATTTATATTTATTTTGCAGGCAACTTGGGGTCGCGGAGTTTACGAGCCGGAAAGTCGCGGCGCCGTGGTAGTGACTCTAGAGAGCACTAGCATTTCTGCGTGCAGTTCGGGTTCGCTCGTTAGTAAGGTAGTGTTATAATTTTCATCTATATATTATTATATTTTAATATTGAAGTATAGATTCTTCGAGCGGGACCTCTAAAACAAGTTGACTGCTTAAGTAATTTTGATGGATTGTTATACACAAACACACACATAAATATAGTTCCTATTATTACGTAGTTTCCTTCTAAAACTACTTATAATTGTGCTTAATAAGAAATGGAGAATGTAAGGTATGAAACTTGCGCAGGGTCGTTTCGTGGGGCTGTGCCTGCGCTTCGCGGAGGACTTCGAGGCGTCGCTGGACGACTGGAAGCCGGAGGCGGCGGAGACCACCAGCAACGTGTGCTGCGTGTCGGAGGGCACCTACGAGGTCTGCAGCCGCACCACCGCCGCCAAGCACCGCGGTACGCACCACCACCTCGCGAAGCATTAATGTCTCATACGTGCTAGAGCCATAATTATAGCATTAATAGCTCGGCTCGACCGGGGAAGGACCATGATCTCGCAGAATTCCAGAAGTATGGTGAGTGTAGAGAACCGCAGATCATTTTACTGGAATTGAGACATTCCGTTTGGTTCTCAGGGGTACAAAGCATCTGCATTTTGGTTCTCAATCGAGGATAGATGTAGATGTCTATGAACTACAGCATCCACTTACTATCAGGTGGACTGTATGCTCATTTGTCACCCTTATTCTATAAAAAAATGCAATCGTGACATTCTACTAATTATGTGGGTGGGGCTCATAAAGTTTGAACCATTACGCACCAAAAATAATAAGACATAGGGTCTGAAATAATAACTTAAATTTAGGGATAAACAGATGACCGGAATATTTTTTCAATAAATACAGTTTTTGGAGCCCAACCCATGTATAATAACTTCTAAAAAGGTTAATTAACAAAAGTTAAGATGTGATACTGACTTAGCAGTCAAATGCACAATTATATGACCGATCCATTGCCAATATAAAAGCCATACTGTACCACATGTACAATATGATTCTTACAATCAACGTCTATTACTATTAATATGTACAGAAAAACAAAAATAAACTATTACACATTACAGAGAATGCCAAGTGGTTCCTGAATGTATCGTGGCAGATGGAGGGCGTCGACATACACCTGGACGTGAACGTGGGCAAGCAGCTCTCCGCACTCGGCCATACGCTCACCATGATCACAGGTCCGAACATTCAGGTTCAATTGAACTTAATGTGTAGATATGATTACTTTATTATTTATTTCATGTACATGTTCATCATCATCATCATCATCATAATTACAGCCCTTCACAAGTCCACTGCTGAACATAGGCCTCCTCCAAGGAATGCCACAAAACACGGTCCTGAGCCACCGGCCCTTTTTACTGGAAATGAGGCATTCCATCTTAGTCCTCACGGGTGACAACGCATCTACATTTTGATTTGTAACAGAGGATAGATGTAGATGTCTATGGGCCGCAGGAACCACTTACCATCAGGTGGACTGTGTGCTCGTTTGTCACCCTTATCCCATAAAAAAAAAAAAACCTGTATCCATCGACTTCCTGCATATCTTACCAGGTCGTCACTCCATCTAGTGGGGGACGCCCAAAACTTCGCCTGCCGATACGAGACTGCCACTCGAGAACCTTTTTACCCCATCGGTTGTCGGTTCTTCGAGCTATATGGCCGGCCCATTGCCACTTCAGCTTACTAATCCGTTGGGCTATGTCGGTCACTCTGGTTCTACTGCGGATATCCTCATTTCTGAGTTTATCACGCAGAGAAACTCCGAGCATAGCCCTCCCCATAGCTCGCTGAGCGACCTTGAGCTTCCTCATCCGGCCAGCAGTGAAGGACCACGTCTCAGATCCGTAAGTCATCACTGGCAACACGCACTGGTCATACAGTCTACCGTTTTCAAGTTTTGAGGTATACCTGACGAGAAGATGTGCCGTAATTTCCCGAACGCTGCCCAACCGAGTTGAATCCGTCGATTGACCTCTCGGTTGAAGTTGGATTTACCTAGACGGACTATTTGTCCGACTAGGTAAATCCACCTTCAACTCTATTTCCAACTTCAACTATATTTGTCCCAGGTAAACATACTCGTCAACAACTTCGAGCTTAGTGTTCCCAACAGCTACCGGCATAGGTGTGACATGGACATTAAACATGATTTTTGTTTTGTCCATGTTCATCTTAAGACCTATCTGTTGGGAAGCACTATTGAGGTCATTGAGCATAGTGCTTACATGTTCAGTGTAGTAAAATATTACTAAGTCGCAGCTCTTATCGACACAACATCAGTTATGAAACATTTTTAAAAATTGGCGTTTCATGAGATACAATATTGGATCCTTTTTTTATTTAAAAATTTATATTAATCGGTTACATAAGTTTTGTTTGCTAACTTCAAATTATAAATTTTATATAAGTTTTTATGAATGGCTTTTCTGCATAGGTTTTGAAGAGGAAGATCCGTTCCAAAAAATGGATTCCTATGAAAGTGATCTCGACGACGAAGCGGACAACAGCAAGGGGTCTCAGGTATTTTTAAATAAGATTTATTTGAAATTATTCTAATATATTACGGAATATAAAAAAAAAAAACAAGAGGAAGCCCAAAGTGGGCGGGGCAGGCGTAAGTTAGGGACAGTAGAGCTTAATTGACTATCAGTGCTAGGCTCAAATTGTTGCGAGCCAACGTCTCGCTGCTTATATAATATATGCGAAAATATACCGTTTAGTGCAATATTGTAGTGTAAATACGAAAGCAAAAAGCTTATTTTAAAGAGAAGGGCAGAGCAACAGAGGAAAACAAATTAGCTCAAATGGAGGTATTTCGTACCTAAAAGTAAAAAAGTTACAGGCTAATACAGGGCTATTTTTCAAAGCAGTAGCCAAATTTTAAATTTAAGTTCAATAATGATGTACTGTCATAGCAGATTTTGAAAATACGAGTAAATAAGGCTTCTACTTTTACTTGAAATTATTTCAAATTGAAAGTGATTTTTGGTGGTTGTCATTTATGGGCAACAACGTTTTTGCCTACCGAGCGACCCTTACGAATGTGTGCGTGCGCTGTGAAATCAGTTAAAATAATGCATTACCACGCATTTGAATCTAAAAGATGAAAAAGACAGAATTATTGAGACTTTTTCATTAACTTTTCTTCACTATTTGCATATATTACTTATTCTGAACCTTTTCTGCAAACTTGGCCAGTTATTGCAAAATATCCCTGTGTACGTCCCATTTCTGAGGGGGCTCAGGACAAAGAAATGTCCGTCGTGCTGCCCAAATGCGTTTTAGCGAACTTCACATGCAAAATATTTTTTTCTTACTTGCCTAAGTACTTATTAGGGAAAACATTGAGTTATATGTACTACGTATTAGAGAAGCCATTCCGAACATTGACTATGTTCAACTGAACTGTACTGCAATCCTTACAAACTAAATATTGCGTAAATTGAAGATTTGTGAACTCCATAAAATAATTATTAATACATTTTATTTAGAAATATGTTTGCTTAGATTAAATTAAGACATTTTATATTAAATTCTTATATTTATTTTATATTAATATCTTATTTTATATCAAATTAAAGTTTTCGCGCATGCGCGAGTACTACTCCCGCGCATGTGCGAAGTCATAGAGTATGACACAATTTTTGTTTGGAATGGCTTCTCTAGTACGTTGTACATATAACTCAATGTGGAAAAATAATTTTTATGTTAACGTAAGGCTTGCATCAGCTCGAGCGGGCGCGTGACAACTTCACGGAATTAGCCCCGCATACGGGGCTGCGCATCGTAGGTATATTTTCATGTCTAAAGCCCGGAGTGAGACAGGCCTGAATAGACGAAATTATAGGGTGATACCCTATAAATTAACCTTTTTGTTAGGGTTGCTAAGCCACAGAAGTTACTTACTTCTCTGGTAGTTTAGTATTACTCATGGTTTTTGGAAAGAAGCTGAAACAAAAGTGAAACAAATCTTAATATCATGATCTATATTAGTATCCGAATTCATTAGCGTCTAAAATTAAATATTAAATACTTCTTAAACATATGGGTATTATTTCAAGGACAATAAACAATTGCTTAAATTATTGTCTTTGTTTCCATTTCAAAAATGATAATTTATCTAACTGTTAATAAATGTCCATTCATCATCATCATCATTACAGCCCTACACAAGTCCACTGCTGAACATAGGTCTCCCTCTAGAAATGCCACAAAACACGGTCTCGAGCCACCTGCATCCATCGACTTCCTGCATGTCTTACCAGGTCGTCACTCCATCTAGTGGTGGGTTGCCCTACACTTCGCCTACCGGTACGAAGGTGCCACTCGAGAACCTTTTTTCTCCATCGGTTGCCGATTCTTCGAGCTATATAGTCGGCCAATTGCCACTTTAGACTACTAAACCGTTGAGTTATGTCGGTTACTCTGGTTCTGTTGCGTTTATCACGCAGAGAAACCCCGAGCATAGCCCTCTCCATAGCTCGTTGAGCAACCTTGAGCATCCTTATACGGCCAGCAAGCAGTGAAGGACCACGTCTCAGATCCATAAGTCATCACTGGCAACACGCACTGGTTGTACAGTCTCGACTTCAGGTTTTGAGTTTAGTATATAGTAATTTATTATTGAATATTCTCGACGCGTTAAATGCGTGTAAAGAAAATAAAAAAAACTTAATTAACAGAGGCATTTTTCATCGGTCGTTGATAACCCTTATTTTTATATATTCTCATGACAACTGAATTGTGACAAAATTTTATGTTTATTAAACTTTCCATATTTTTAAATAACTATTAATGACACGTGGTCAAAATAAGTCAGTTGGCATATACTAGACGATACTTTTGCGATCACTCGAAGTACGTGTAAATTTTGGGAATTTTCCTATACCAAAGTCCTACGATGACAAGCGGGTAACTGGTTTGAGTTTGAGGAGCGCGCGAAATACCACTTACAGTATTTTTATTATATTATACTTATGGTAATTATATTTTGTTTATTACATTCTTTTAATATGGATCTATTTAAAAAATAGTTTCTGTTACATAATTTTATCGAATAAAGTTAGCATAATACATTTCTCCTACAAATAGTTGCAAGTTTGAAATTAATCACGACATTTAATGCTTGAAACAAACTTTTTTTAATAATTATCCCAAATATCTAATTAGTAATAACGTGGTTTAAACATAAATATTCAATGACATTGTATATTGGCGGTGAAAGAAAATTCACTATTCCAAGTCTTCCCGTGGGTGTAGTAAAAGGCGGCAGAAACCAGGAGATGGGTAATGGCATCTTCCCAACAACAACTAGATCCAAAGTAAAAAACTGCGGTTGCCAACCCGCCTGGCAAATGTGAAAACTATGAAAAATACCCCCTTATAGATATCATCCGTTGGAGGCTTATGTTCAGTAGTTGACTTTGATAGATCGTAATGAAGGAATGAACAATGTATATTTGATGTCAACATAATTTAGAAACTGTTAGAAATCGCCAAAACATCATCATCTACGTAGCGGAACTAAAAAATTTTCTCGTTAAGTGTAATCCATTTGCACAGACTTTATTCATGCCAAGGTGTTCATGTAGGATGCTTAATACGGTTTTTTCTGATACTCCAACTAATGCTGCAAGCTGTGTTTTCTTTAGTCGGGCATCTTCCGATACAAGTTTTTCAACTTTTTCGATTATTTCTGCCGTGGTGGCCTCAATCGGCCGTCCAGGTCGGGGGTCGCCTTTGTTGGAGTCCCTCCCTTGTTTGAAAAGGGCGTGCCATTTATAAATTATGGTTTTTCCAGGAGCGGAGTCCTCATAAACAGCTGACATCTCTTGAAAAATGGTTTGAGGTGTCTTTCCTTGTTTGGTGAGAAAGTTAATGACGGCGCGATATTCAATTTTCTCCATAGTGGCTAGTTTCTTCCCGATAGGCTTAACCTTGGTATATATACTAACAATGAGTCACTCAACTACCGCCTAATTGGATGAGTAAACTCACCCTCGCCAACCCCGCCATTCCGCGAATTTGTGACCTCCCCTCATACAGTGCCTGTTTTTGTGACATTCATAAACATGCTATGAAGACGAACGCGTGGTGAATATTATGTAACTTGTGCGTAGCACCAAAAGTAATTTATTCATGTTTGAAAATTAACCACAAAAAAAAATACAAATTGAAACTAAATGTAAACTAGTTTGGACGCACCCTTATTTCTGTTTTCGGTTGCATTTTAGTGGTTCGGTTATTACAATTTGTGCGCGATGCTCAAACCTATGTTTACTGTTCTTTTAAATTGTTTACGTTTTACCCACATCTATAGTTAATATTCTGTATGCTCGTAATGGATTCTTCTATTATTGTTTGTAAATTGTTAAATTTCTCGTGAGCGATTTGTAAACTTTTGAGAAATAAATAATATCTTAAACCTATGTCCAGGGTGCGTATACTAACATTGTGCGATGCGTCTGTGTGATTAGAAAATATCAACGTAGGTGTTCTATTAGAAGTTCCCACGCTCAAGGACTACAGTCTTAATCGCCGGATAAAACTCGGCTGGGCAGCATTACACCCTTACCGTCACATATATCTCAGAACTTGAAAACAAAAGTGTACTACGAGTTCGTGTTACCAGTGATGACTTATGGATCTAAGACGTGGTGTTTCACTGTTGGCCATATGACGAAGCTTAACTTCACTCCCAAAGCTATGGAGAAGGCTATGCTCGGAGTGCCTTCAGTGATATACTTCGTAATGAGGATAGCAGTAAAAATCCGAGTAAACGACATATCCCGACGGATCAGTAAGCTGAAATAGTTGAAGAACCGTTAATAATTAATGATTACGCTGGTTTCTTGAAGATTTTTCAATGAAACTCCGCGATGACATGTAGTACATTTAATTTGTTATTTAAATATAATAATTAAATTTAAAACATGTTGCCGGGTGCGGAACTCAAGGCGTAATGGCCGGAACCGGCCAGTTCGTGACGATGAGTGACGTCACTCTTGGACGCGTTCAAGACTAGAGATTGAACAATGAGGAAGAAAGGTTCTTGAGTGGTAGCCTCCTATGAGTAAGTGAAATGTAGAGCGACCCCTCACTAGATGAAGCGACGATCTGGTAAGAGACTCAGAAAGGTGGATAGATTCGGGATCGTGCTTTGTGATATTCCCTGGAGGAGGTCTACGCTCAACATTGAACTTGTTATGGCTGCATGGATGATGATGATGAATGATGAAACGTGCCAGTTTTAATTTTTTAATGAGTGTACTCCACGCTAAGGACAGCTCAGCAGCCTATAGTTGCCAAAAAATTGTACTACATATATAAATACGGCGTAAACGCGGTCAATTTTAGCCATATTTTGTCCGCTTATATTCTATAAAAAGTTTAAAGTAAATAAATATAGTAATAATAATATTTGAATCGCTGTCTTAAAATAACAACACGCTATAATTCCTTACGTGAATTTTATTAAGATGTCGTTATTATGTTTTTGCTTTATACATAGTTATTATATTCAAAGCAGTGGCTAATTTGCCACAAGTTTTCAAACTTTTACTTATGATGACGTCATAGAGTGGGTTGAAGAGTTCCCGATATTTGTAAAGCTTAAAAAATAATAATAAAGACCCATAATTTTAAATTTTACAAAGATGACATGATTTTTTTAATATTTTTGTTTTGGATGCTTGTCTTCTAAGTCATGTCTTCATTTATCTTAGTATAAAGTGATAATAATCTTTTATAATCTAGTGCTCATGGAGATTTTGGCGGCAACTTGAGCCAGCAGACAGTTGGCGATAGTATCTCAAGGCGCCTAAGCAGACAGACAGACCTTATCTTGAAGTTCACATCACTATCGGATCACTTGTTTCACAGTTTCCACTAATAGTTCACATGCGCAGACATTTAATACACAGAATCGCATCACTTTTACATATCAAAATCTACTTCAAACCATTATTTAAACAATAATACAGGGGCAGCAATCCGCTGCCCCGCCGGTCAAGTTTCCGCCAAAACCTCTCCAAGATGACATGATTGTTGTTTACAAGTACAGATAAAAATTCGACAGATAAGAACTTAATTTGGGTAGCACTTGGTAGGTTCCTTGCGGAATGGAGTATTCTTTACAGGAGATGTAGTCATCGGTTCTCATTGCGTACCGTTACCGTTATAGTCACTGCTGAACATAGGCCTCCCCCATAGATTGCCTCATAGGAGCGAATTTCGCCGTAGCTAGCAAACTTGGCAAACAGGTTGGCAAACGCAATTTTTATTTTTAGTCGTTATTAGAAAGACGCTGCTGCCCATCTCTTGATTTGTTTCCTCTGTCGCCTCTTACCGACACCCACGGGACGATATGGGGTAATGGATATTTCACTACACAGAAACTCAATATATAATAAAGCCGCGTATGAAGGGGTTGTTTAATGTTGTTTAATGTGCCAGGAGAGCATCGTATTCCGGCGCAAGTACACGGAGCAGCTGCCCGCGTTCGTGCTGGACCCGCGGCTGGACGCGCGCGCGCGCTGCAAGCTGGTGGAGCAGGAGATGCGCGAGCAGGCGCGCATCATCTGCGACCTGCGCGCGCTCGGCGCCAGCCACGCCACCGTCGAGCACGAGCTGCGGCGCCTGCACGAGCTGGAGGCGCTCGTGTTCAAGGACTTCCGCCGGTGAGTGCTCGCACTCGCACTCGCCTCGCAGCCACGCCACCGTCGAGCACGAGCTGCGGCGCCTGCACGAGCTGGAGGCGCTCGTGTTCAAGGACTTCCGCCGGTGAGTGCTCGCACTCGCACTCGCCTCGCAGCCACGCCACCGTCGAGCACGAGCTGCGGCGCCTGCACGAGCTGGAGGCGCTCGTGTTCAAGGACTTCCGCCGGTGAGTGCTCGCACTCGCACTCGCCTCGCAGCCACGCCACCGTCGAGCACGAGCTGCGGCGCCTGCACGAGCTGGAGGCGCTCGTGTTCAAGGACTTCCGCCGGTGAGTGCTCGCACTCGCACTCGCCTCGCAGCCACGCCACCGTCGAGCACGAGCTGCGGCGCCTGCACGAGCTGGAGGCGCTCGTGTTCAAGGACTTCCGCCGGTGAGTGCTCGCACTCGCACTCGCCTCGCAGCCACGCCACCGTCGAGCACGAGCTGCGGCGCCTGCACGAGCTGGAGGCGCTCGTGTTCAAGGACTTCCGCCGGTGAGTGCTCGCACTCGCACTCGCCTCGCAGCCACGCCACCGTCGAGCACGAGCTGCGGCGCCTGCACGAGCTGGAGGCGCTCGTGTTCAAGGACTTCCGCCGGTGAGTGCTCGCACTCGCACTCGCCTCGCAGCCACGCCACCGTCGAGCACGAGCTGCGGCGCCTGCACGAGCTGGAGGCGCTCGTGTTCAAGGACTTCCGCCGGTGAGTGCTCGCACTCGCACTCGCCTCGCAGCCACGCCACCGTCGAGCACGAGCTGCGGCGCCTGCACGAGCTGGAGGCGCTCGTGTTCAAGGACTTCCGCCGGTGAGTGCTCGCACTCGCACTCGCCTCGCAGCCACGCCACCGTCGAGCACGAGCTGCGGCGCCTGCACGAGCTGGAGGCGCTCGTGTTCAAGGACTTCCGCCGGTGAGTGCTCGCACTCGCACTCGCCTCGCAGCCACGCCACCGTCGAGCACGAGCTGCGGCGCCTGCACGAGCTGGAGGCGCTCGTGTTCAAGGACTTCCGCCGGTGAGTGCTCGCACTCGCACTCGCCTCGCAGCCACGCCACCGTCGAGCACGAGCTGCGGCGCCTGCACGAGCTGGAGGCGCTCGTGTTCAAGGACTTCCGCCGGTGAGTGCTCGCACTCGCACTCGCCTCGCAGCCGCGCCACCGTCGAGCACGAGCTGCGGCGCCTGCACGAGCTGGAGGCGCTCGTGTTCAAGGACTTCCGCCGGTGAGTGCTCGCACTCGCACTCGCCTCGCAGCCACGCCACCGTCGAGCACGAGCTGCGGCGCCTGCACGAGCTGGAGGCGCTCGTGTTCAAGGACTTCCGCCGGTGAGTGCTCGCACTCGCACTCGCCTCGCAGCCACGCCACCGTCGAGCACGAGCTGCGGCGCCTGCACGAGCTGGAGGCGCTCGTGTTCAAGGACTTCCGCCGGTGAGTGCTCGCACTCGCACTCGCCTCGCAGCCACGCCACCGTCGAGCACGAGCTGCGGCGCCTGCACGAGCTGGAGGCGCTCGTGTTCAAGGACTTCCGCCGGTGAGTGCTCGCACTCGCACTCGCCTCGCAGCCACGCCACCGTCGAGCACGAGCTGCGGCGCCTGCACGAGCTGGAGGCGCTCGTGTTCAAGGACTTCCGCCGGTGAGTGCTCGCACTCGCACTCGCCTCGCAGCCACGCCACCGTCGAGCACGAGCTGCGGCGCCTGCACGAGCTGGAGGCGCTCGTGTTCAAGGACTTCCGCCGGTGAGTGCTCGCACTCGCACTCGCCTCGCAGCCACGCCACCGTCGAGCACGAGCTGCGGCGCCTGCACGAGCTGGAGGCGCTCGTGTTCAAGGACTTCCGCCGGTGAGTGCTCGCACTCGCACTCGCCTCGCAGCCACGCCACCGTCGAGCACGAGCTGCGGCGCCTGCACGAGCTGGAGGCGCTCGTGTTCAAGGACTTCCGCCGGTGAGTGCTCGCACTCGCACTCGCCTCGCAGCCACGCCACCGTCGAGCACGAGCTGCGGCGCCTGCACGAGCTGGAGGCGCTCGTGTTCAAGGACTTCCGCCGGTGAGTGCTCGCACTCGCACTCGCCTCGCAGCCACGCCACCGTCGAGCACGAGCTGCGGCGCCTGCACGAGCTGGAGGCGCTCGTGTTCAAGGACTTCCGCCGGTGAGTGCTCGCACTCGCACTCGCCTCGCAGCCACGCCACCGTCGAGCACGAGCTGCGGCGCCTGCACGAGCTGGAGGCGCTCGTGTTCAAGGACTTCCGCCGGTGAGTGCTCGCACTCGCACTCGCCTCGCAGCCACGCCACCGTCGAGCACGAGCTGCGGCGCCTGCACGAGCTGGAGGCGCTCGTGTTCAAGGACTTCCGCCGGTGAGTGCTCGCACTCGCACTCGCCTCGCAGCCACGCCACCGTCGAGCACGAGCTGCGGCGCCTGCACGAGCTGGAGGCGCTCGTGTTCAAGGACTTCCGCCGGTGAGTGCTCGCACTCGCACTCGCCTCGCAGCCACGCCACCGTCGAGCACGAGCTGCGGCGCCTGCACGAGCTGGAGGCGCTCGTGTTCAAGGACTTCCGCCGGTGAGTGCTCGCACTCGCACTCGCCTCGCAGCCGCGCCACCGTCGAGCACGAGCTGCGGCGCCTGCACGAGCTGGAGGCGCTCGTGTTCAAGGACTTCCGCCGGTGAGGGCTCGCACTCGCACTCGCCTCGCAGCCACGCCACCGTCGAGCACGAGCTGCGGCGCCTGCACGAGCTGGAGGCGCTCGTGTTCAAGGACTTCCGCCGGTGAGTGCTCGCACTCGCACTCGCCTCGCAGCCACGCCACCGTCGAGCACGAGCTGCGGCGCCTGCACGAGCTGGAGGCGCTCGTGTTCAAGGACTTCCGCCGGTGAGTGCTCGCACTCGCACTCGCCTCGCAGCCACGCCACCGTCGAGCACGAGCTGCGGCGCCTGCACGAGCTGGAGGCGCTCGTGTTCAAGGACTTCCGCCGGTGAGTGCTCGCACTCGCACTCGCCTCGCAGCCACGCCACCGTCGAGCACGAGCTGCGGCGCCTGCACGAGCTGGAGGCGCTCGTGTTCAAGGACTTCCGCCGGTGAGTGCTCGCACTCGCACTCGCCTCGCAGCCACGCCACCGTCGAGCACGAGCTGCGGCGCCTGCACGAGCTGGAGGCGCTCGTGTTCAAGGACTTCCGCCGGTGAGTGCTCGCACTCGCACTCGCCTCGCAGCCACGCCACCGTCGAGCACGAGCTGCGGCGCCTGCACGAGCTGGAGGCGCTCGTGTTCAAGGACTTCCGCCGGTGAGTGCTCGCACTCGCACTCGCCTCGCAGCCACGCCACCGTCGAGCACGAGCTGCGGCGCCTGCACGAGCTGGAGGCGCTCGTGTTCAAGGACTTCCGCCGGTGAGTGCTCGCACTCGCACTCGCCTCGCAGCCACGCCACCGTCGAGCACGAGCTGCGGCGCCTGCACGAGCTGGAGGCGCTCGTGTTCAAGGACTTCCGCCGGTGAGTGCTCGCACTCGCACTCGCCTCGCAGCCACGCCACCGTCGAGCACGAGCTGCGGCGCCTGCACGAGCTGGAGGCGCTCGTGTTCAAGGACTTCCGCCGGTGAGTGCTCGCACTCGCACTCGCCTCGCAGCCACGCCACCGTCGAGCACGAGCTGCGGCGCCTGCACGAGCTGGAGGCGCTCGTGTTCAAGGACTTCCGCCGGTGAGTGCTCGCACTCGCACTCGCCTCGCAGCCACGCCACCGTCGAGCACGAGCTGCGGCGCCTGCACGAGCTGGAGGCGCTCGTGTTCAAGGACTTCCGCCGGTGAGTGCTCGCACTCGCACTCGCCTCGCAGCCACGCCACCGTCGAGCACGAGCTGCGGCGCCTGCACGAGCTGGAGGCGCTCGTGTTCAAGGACTTCCGCCGGTGAGTGCTCGCACTCGCACTCGCCTCGCAGCCACGCCACCGTCGAGCACGAGCTGCGGCGCCTGCACGAGCTGGAGGCGCTCGTGTTCAAGGACTTCCGCCGGTGAGTGCTCGCACTCGCACTCGCCTCGCAGCCACGCCACCGTCGAGCACGAGCTGCGGCGCCTGCACGAGCTGGAGGCGCTCGTGTTCAAGGACTTCCGCCGGTGAGTGCTCGCACTCGCATTCGCCTCGCAGCCACGCCACCGTCGAGCACGAGCTGCGGCGCCTGCACGAGCTGGAGGCGCTCGTGTTCAAGGACTTCCGCCGGTGAGTGCTCGCACTCGCACTCGCCTCGCAGCCACGCCACCGTCGAGCACGAGCTGCGGCGCCTGCACGAGCTGGAGGCGCTCGTGTTCAAGGACTTCCGCCGGTGAGTGCTCGCACTCGCACTCGCCTCGCAGCCACGCCACCGTCGAGCACGAGCTGCGGCGCCTGCACGAGCTGGAGGCGCTCGTGTTCAAGTACTTCCGCCGGTGAGTGCTCGCACTCGCACTCGCCTCGCAGCCACGCCACCGACGAGCACGAGCTGCGGCGCCTGCACGAGCTGGAGGCGCTCGTGTTCAAGGACTTCCGCCGGTGAGTGCTCGCACTCGCACTCGCCTCGCATCCACGCCACCGTCGAGCACGAGCTGCGGCGCCTGCACGAGCTGGAGGCGCTCGTGTTCAAGGACTTCCGCCGGTGAGTGCTCGCACTCGCACTCGCCTCGCAGCCACGCCACCGTCGAGCACGAGCTGCGGCGCCTGCACGAGCTGGAGGCGCTCGTGTTCAAGGACTTCCGCCGGTGAGTGCTCGCACTCGCACTCGCCTCGCAGCCACGCCACCGTCGAGCACGAGCTGCGGCGCCTGCACGAGCTGGAGGCGCTCGTGTTCAAGGACTTCCGCCGGTGAGTGCTCGCACTCGCACTCGCCTCGCAGCCACGCCACCGTCGAGCACGAGCTGCGGCGCCTGCACGAGCTGGAGGCGCTCGTGTTCAAGGACTTCCGCCGGTGAGTGCTCGCACTCGCACTCGCCTCGCAGCCACGCCACCGTCGAGCACGAGCTG